GATTTCTTTACCTGTGAGAAGTGAAGAGAGAACGATCAGTCCCAGCAGACACAGATGACACTCATCAGACATTTTCTCTTTCTCTCAGTCTTCCTCTTCATTATATGCTCTCAACTCTTTCTTTAAATACTATCAGCTCTTCCTGTGTTTCTTCACTTCCTCTCATCTACAGACTGAGTGTTTAGAGCTGCTATAGTGACGCTGTGCCAGAAGTGTTGCTTCATATTTCTCCTGTAAATATTGATGAAATATGTTATTTATCCTATAAAAGACATTTGTAGAAGTTGTTTTGATATTATGAAAGCCAGATGCATTTTGAAGTCCTCATGGTGTACGTGACTGTAACTGTATGAAGGTAAAAGGATGAGTAATGCGTACGTTTCACACAAAAACCCTTGGCAGCTGATGTGTAATATATGTGTCTCCGGGCTCCTGGAAAGGGTTAAATAAAAGGATAATAGACCAACAAGTAAGATCCTACAATTAAAGATGAATTGTTCTTTAAAAGAAAGAGCTAATAAATAAATGTGGAATGTAAGGGGAGTAACATACACACAGATGAACTGCTGGCATCTCTGCTTTGTTGTCTTTGTGCAATAAAGTCTAATTTAGGCTTCTGGAACTCAGAGTCTCGACTGATTCCTCTGAGAGCGAACCGAGTTTCTCCACAACAATATACACTCGGATTCAAGAAGATTTCACTACTAATATGTATTTTTGTTGACGCTTAAATGTAAAGTGTAATAAGAACAGTCCCTCACTTGTGGTTGATATTCAATAACAGCTCAGGCAGTTTTAATCTACAGTCGTTCTGTAAACACATCAACAGGTTAAATCTTCCCTCGAGAGCCGAGCACTGACTGATGCCGGCGTTGTGTTGAACTCGGTTCCTCCTGTGTTTTCTATAAACTGTCTAACCATAACCATAACCACTAACATGCAGAAACACAGGGGAAGAGACTCTGACACGACAGCGGTTGTGAAGCATGTTCTTCAGTGTGAGATCTGCATATTGTCAACCACACTGACTCAAACCACATCTGCTCTAAACACAATATACAGGCTATTCTTCACATTACTGTTAGTTGCACTTCTTTCTTTCAGTCTGCATGTCATTAAATAGAAATAAATTCATTAAATTATCAGTGATCAAATTCGTTAGTTAAAAGGTTTCCATTATCCAAGACTCACTTGTAGAGAATGAACTCTAAAACAGTTTTTAAAGTATTTTAAAATTATTAGCATGAGAGTCTCTGAAGAAGCGAGTGTTTCTGCTCATGGATCATAACATGCTGCTTTTCTCTCTCCAGCGCTGAGAAAACACATCAGATCCAGAGTCCTGTATTAACACTATAAACTCCAGCACATTCTCCCTTCGGCCGGTGGATTTCACAGCAGCACGAGTCTCTCTGACGGCTGATGATTCAGGATTTGTCGTCTTTACAAGACGGCTACTTTGAATTTGTTGTTAAAGTCGGTAACATTTTTGGTTGTATTGAAATTTCCAAAAATAATAACTTTGAAGTTTTACTATTGTAACGAATCTGTTTTTTTGATAGATTCCTTGAGTCAAACTGAGTCGGTTATTGTTTGAAACATCAACAAATTTGATGGCAAAATGCCAAATCAATTTTATCCCTGCAATGATTTTGCAAACTTTTGGCCCGTTGCAATATCCATATTTCCACAATAACTAAACACAGTTACAAAGAGACGATTGAACAAGGGACCGAATCTGCTGATGTAATTACAACCACTAATGATAGAGAAGGGCCTCCGTTGGTAAAAAAAATTTGCCAATCAGCATCGAGTGTTCACTTTCAGCGCTGAGGAGTGTTGAGAAAAGAAACCTCGTAAGGGAGGCTAGCCTCTTTCTGATATCAACCAAGCATCAGAGAGATGTAAATTACGTGATATTAGTTGAACGTCTGCCGCTATATATATACACACACACACACACACATTCAAAGAATCCATCCAAAACAGTGCTAATATAAAGGAAACCAGGCTGATTACATCAGAGATTGCAGAGAGAACAGAGACTCGCATTGCGTTTTCAGTGAATTATTCATTTTCTTTATTTTACAAAACGTATGATGTTTCACGGTTATTTT